ATATTTTGGTCAAATCGGTAAATATTAACCCTTTAGAATTAAAAACAGTAGTCCATTTGTTGCTCATGATTTACCATAACACATGAGAAGAAGAGAGCTCGTACTTACTATTTAGTACTTAAATTAAATAATTAAATACCTCTGCAACATCCGCTCTTCATGCTGAAACTGCTAACACTAATGGCAGGACTAGAACTCTTCTTCAAAAAAAATCTCTTTCCTTCTATAGTGGAAACAGATTCACAGTTTTCTTCTTGATGCTATTGGAGTGGAAGAAATAACCCATATATATCGGGAAGGCAACGCTTTAGCTACCACCCTGGCAAAGTATGGAAGCACCAAGCAACACACAACAACGGTAGAAGATAAAATTATGTATTGGGAAACACCTCCGGCCTTTATTTTACAAGTTTTTTTAAAGACAAATTGGGAAAAACCGCTATGCAATCTATCCCTATGTTATGTAATAACTAAACTTCCTATGTTTTTAATATAAAGTCTCTCCTTTCATTAGCAAAAAAAAAAAAAAAAATTAAAAAAATACCTGATTTTAAAAAAATATTTAATTGTTCAGCATTTGCACACTCGGAGAACAGGTTGTAATGAGAAAACCCATTGCTGCTCAACTCAATTCCACACGAGCCATTTGGGTACACATGTAACTTAAGATGTTATTCAATTTTGGATGGTCCAAATTGACTTTTAGAGATTTTGACACCTTTAGAACCTAAGGCACTCTTTTTTATCGGGGGGTGGGGGTGGGGGTGGGGGGTGACGAGGGGAGCTTTTTCTCCATATCCAGAGTCTGTCCACTCTACCTAGATATCTAAAATGAATGCAAAACATTTCTGTTCACAAATATCAGACGTTGTCTATTGAAGTTACAAGTGTTTTGATTAGGCATTCAGATTAGTTTTATCTGAATACATTGTGAAAATTTCCATTTTTTCAACATATAGGGAAAAGTACCATATAGCTTAAAATTCTAGAGACCAGCAACGAGGGGTATTATCACTTTTAGCCCGCCAGAAATTATTTATATTTGGTAACCAAGAAAGGGTATAAAATTTGAATATTTTTTGTATATATATACAATTTGTATGTTATATACAAAAAACATACAAATTTTATATATTTTTTCGATTATTATTTTATCAGTGGCTATACAGTATCATTTTTCCATATTATGGTGGTTAATCAGGGAACTGCGGTATTTGATGAAGGAATCTTGGTTTTTCCTACTACTCTTTGTTTTTTTTATATCTTTTTTAGTAGGCAAAATACATAGTTTACCAATCGCCTTTTACTCAAATTCTTCTTACACACCTGTTAAACAAGAGAATAGTATTACACACCAAAACTTTTAAAAGCGTATCAATTACACACCTCTTTTGCCATGTGTCACACGCGTGTATTACACATAAAAGAAGCGCGTGAAAACTACAAAATTCATCTGAAATTAAATTTTTTTTGTTTTTTCCCTTTTTTAATTATTTTCTTTCAAAATTAAAGAAAAAAAATAACCCATGTCTNNCCCCCCATCGTCTTCTTCCCTAACCTCCATTCTAGTTTTGTCTACTCCCCTCATGTTTCGTCTTTCCAACCAACCCCCATGAATAAGAAGAAAAAGAAAAAGAAGAAGAATAGAAGAGCTATCGTCTTGTAAAAATCACCATTATTGACCTTTTGAAAAAGCTTGAAAATTTAGTTGGGTCTTGTTGATTTTGGTGTTCCATGACCCAGAAAATTAGTTTGAACTTGTAATTATTGTTGAGTAAAAAGTTACTTAGGTGATTAATTTTGATAAAATTCAAAAAACACCATTAACAAGTTTGAAGCTTTACGTTTGAGCTTGAATTTGAAATTTGTATGAGGATTTGTGATGGATGTTTTTAAAACTTGTTAAAAATCGGGCAAATAGTTGAATCTATAGTTAGGGAAGAAGGTGATTGTAGTGGAAGGGTTAGTGGTACTATGGTGGTGGTGGAGAAGATGATGGGGTTGGGGAGATGAGGAGGGGGTGGGTTTTTTCTTTTCTGTATTTTTTTCTTCGGGAAGATGAGGAGAGGGGGGGGGGGTTTCTTTTTCCGATTTATGACACATGTCAGATGCTGATTGGCGCGTGTAACAACAATCTTTTAAGCAGATGTGGTCAAACACCGAAGTGGTGTGTAATTGACACACCTTTAAAAGTTTTGATGTGTAATATGATTCCTGTTTTTAACAGGTGCGTAAGCGGGCTTTGGGGACAAGGTCGGTGAGTAAAGTATGTATTTTGCCTTTTTAGTAAAAGGATTGGAATACATCAGATGAAGCAGTAAATAAAAGAAAGAGCATAAGATCAAAATATGGAGAGTGCAGAAGAAACAGATGTTAGGTCATTACAGTTAAAGACTTAAAGTGCTGTAGGAGAAACGGTTGGGAAATGACTCTCTCTCTCGTTGTTATTGAGTAGTGACATAGACATCATTTTTTTATCAATAGTGACATGGTTACATCATAGCAACGGCAACAAGAGTAGTTCCAGTTTCCCTTAATCTCCAATAGTATAACTAATATTATTGAAGCAATGTGATGCTACATTGCCATTTTGTTAAAAAAACTATACAGCTTCTTTTTAAACTGAATAGTAAGCCGCGAACAGGCAAGCCTCACAGACACGCGATGGGATAGATCATTCAGTATGCCAGTCTTCGAATAATTTGAAGGGAACACAATAGGATGGCCACTTAGACACAAGAAAACTTGATGTTTCAGGAAGCATTTTATAAGAAAGACCATTGACAGATCACGAAAATTTGATGTTGAAGATCAACCCCCTCAAAAAATGGGCTTATTTTGAAGCACACAGCAACTTTCCATTTGCATAAATGACTAGAAGGTTCCTAAAAACTAAACTTCAAGGTATACTTGCCCCCTTTGTATACAGCTACTAATGGGATTCTATCAATCCCCTCTTTTAGTTAGTAACAAAATACTTGTGATTTTTAACAAATAAATAAGTCCTCCGTGTTGAGGGATACGCAAGAAATGTTATGTTCATGAAATAAAATTACAAGAAATAGCATATGAAACTTAAAAGACATTGAAGACAAAGATGCAATATCAAAAATAAACCTTGATGATAATATCTGAAAAAAGGACTATGACTAACTTTCTCCAACAGAACATGGATAGTGGCCACCAGTTGCCATTATTATCATTGGTTCACATATTCTAACCAAAAGGAATCATACAAATCCAATAAACTATATCGCAGTTGTACTATCTTAGATAGTGCAGGTACAAGTAGCAGTGTCCTACCCACCATTCACTCAATAACACTCTACAAGTATGCTACAATGTATTGCAGCATCAAACAAGAGGCTGGCTCCGCCTTTACTAGAATAGAAATACACAAAAGAATAAGCCTCTCCGCTCATAAGAGGATTTTCTATTCTAATTTGTTCAAGCCCCTAAACCAAACCTCACTGCATTTCCAGACAAGTAAGAGCCGATTCCTTTACAAAGACCAAAGAGTCCTTAATGAGGACAAAAATGGAAGGTAGATGGAGGTGGTTAGAGAAGAAACAGGTCACCGCAACACTTGAACTCTCAAGAGAATCAACATCAATTGCGAGAAAAACGTCAAAACCAATAATAGGAAGAAACCACCAGTTCACTAAAAGATGCCCCTTTATGGCATATTTGCGGCAGTTCAAAATTTATAGCATGTTAGTCTTACAAAGAGCTTTGGTCTTTGGGGGTTATAAGGGAACTCACTCAGCTTCTTAGGATGTGAACTGTTTTAGCTGCAAATTGAGGATGTTCATCCTAGATTTCAACAATTTCACGGCTCAATAACCTCAAGATATGACTGATGACTAACCACTAGGTTTGCTTGTTGCTGTTACGTATGTGTATGATAGAATCTCAACCTCACTCTTATCTACACAACTCCTTTTGTGTGTGAGTGCTATGTACTAACGGAGGAGAGAGTATAGTTTCACAACAAGATAAAGAGAAAAGAGAAAAAGAAAGGGAAGAGGAGAGGATCTCTTCCTGTCTGCAAAACACAAGCTGCACTCAGGTTTTTCTCAATCGGTAAAAGAGTAACCCAAATATGAACTGTACTCTCAGCAATCATTCCACCTCCAAATAATATCTTCTTTCTTCTTTTTTTCCTACTGTTGTCTCTATCTATGTGACATCAAGTGATCCACTGCATGAAGTCAAATCTCAAAAAATAAATATCTACTCCAAGAGTTGGTTTTCCCATAGGATGTGCAACAGTCATAATTGTAGTGTTGCCAAAAGCTGGCTTAAGGTGCGCTTAAATTCTGAAGATAGGTGCAAAACACGCTTTACCTCATTTAGGCAAAGCTTCAGTTCAAGCACCAAGGCACTAAGGTGTCTGTTTCGTCATCCATGGTCTCCGTGTTACAAGAACTATTTCACTTAATTGGTGTTTGTGTTTCTTTTTAATTTTTTACTTTTATAAGGCATATATATATATATATATATATATATATATATATATATATATTTGTTGTTTGTGTTCATACTTATACTTGAATTACAAAATATAGTTTTTATTTTTAGTTTCTTCTTTGTGCCTTCATTAAAACCCACACTATATTTATTCTTTTTGTATAAAGCCCAAACAAAACTCAACAGTTATTTTCGCTTTTCGCCTTTGACAATACAATGATCGGAATATCAACATATCCATCCACCATCAATCTTTGCATACAATAGAATAAAAGGTCTCAGTCAAGCAAGTAGCTATACAAGTACGTTCGTACCTAGTTTCTTGCCACCACTGCTAAGAGTTAAGTCCCGTGACTGAAAAGGGCAATAAAGTACGAAACTTAGCTTAACGCTATTAGTTAGAAAGGAGAAAATCCATCAAATAGAGACATCATCACATAGTCCACATGGCATGACTTAAAACCATAACACAAGTGATCTTTATAAAGGCAATATAGCAACTGCATAAGTTATAGCAAAATCACAGTCGCTGCTATGCAAATCAAGCAAGGAAGTCAGCCATTATTCTTCAATTTCATAGCAAATATAGCTAACTTACAGATGAAACAAAGGACTGTTATGCCTCATATGAAACGACAAAGCTCTGTAAAGACAAATACATTCCGAATACATGAAAAGGGAATCCTTGCATACACGAATAGTCAGATATCATATAACAAACAAGCCAACCACTTCGTCTGAATATCGAATTGCTATTCAGATTTACCTCAAAAAACAAGTACAATAACATTATCTTTCTGACGGGCCAAGTGATCTAGGAGACCACTGCCTCCATCCTGCTTAGCATGGCAATCAAAAGAAAAACTAAACATTTAGCTTCAACATTGTTAGAATTCCCAAATCAGAAAAGTTACCATTGAAGCAAATGGACTTCCTCCTCTAACTCCACCTTTAAGGCACTGCATTCAACTGAGCCTCAAAGACGAATCCCCGATAAAGTCCATCACTATTCCCCGGAACGCCACTAATCCACCGCCATTCCCCTTTCCCGCACTCATTTTCCTCCCAAAGCGCCAATCTTCCCACCCTCTTGCCCGAAAAACAAACTTTACTCCCTCCACCAAACACCTTGAACTTACTCGAATCTTGAAAATACCTAAACATCTCAGGCGGCATTCGCCCAGCTTCTTCCCATTCTAAAGAGTCCAAATCCAATCTAAGTATCAAAATGGTCGAGCATGTGCTGTGCAACGAATAGGACGATTTTAGACCACCAATCATCAACACCTTATCATTTCTACCAGCAAGCAATCTGGGGCGTTTCAATATGTCAAAAATATCACCCCACTCATGCTTTTCTAACCTAGTCCATTGTTGACTAAATTGCAAATCTTTAACTGTTGACCTAAACAGCTTCCATTGGGACCGCCACGGGGAACCAACATCACAAAGGGCTAAAATGGTATCAGAAATCAAGATTGGACTCCTAGGTTTTGACGGTAAATTCGATGAAAACTTGAGCCAATTATTGGAAGTTGTTGAGCCAGAGAAGTAAATAGCAGCTAACTCAGTCAAAACCAGAACTTGATTGGGTGACCCGACAAGAACCGACCCGTGTTTACACCAAGCTGAACCCAATTGAGGAAGCAGCTTGAATTGACGAGTTAAAGGGTTACAAACGATTAGGGTTTTGCTATTGTTACTGGGAGGAGGAGGAGGAGGAGGAGGAGGTGAAATTGCGGGTATGGGTCCCGCACTAGTGGGGCCCTCAGCCCAGAGATAGAGGAGGCCGTGAGAGGAAGTGATGGGGTAGTGAGATCTAAAGGGAAGGAAAGAAAGTGGGAACCGAAACCAGTAGTTAAGCACTGTGTCGAACACATGGAGTGCACAATGAGGAGATTGATTATTATGACTGTGGCTGTGGGTACGGTGGGAGGGGCGGAGGGCGAGGAGGGAGAGGGGAGGTTGGAGGGTGGAGATGAGGTGGAGGAAGGCCTGAGAAGAGAGAGTGGAGTTGAGACATTTGCAGACGCATTTGGAGACGATGATTTCACGGAGGGTTAAATGGGAGAAGATCTGGTGAAGGGTATCTTGAGGTAAACGATTTAAAGGGGAAAACTCCATCGGCGGCGGAGGACGGCGGAGAATAAGAGTCGGTGGTGGTCGGAGAGATTGATCTAATCTCTTGTTTGGGGTTTTTGTGTTTAATATTATTTTTGTGCTTTGTAGAAAGGGTTTTTTCTTGTTTTGGTTGACTGGTTTGTCTTGACAATGTATTTGGCTATGGTGATGGGGAAAAAAGGGGTCTTTTTTTTTTTTTTTGTATTTTAATATTGCAATTGGGCAATTGGATTTAAAGATTATTGCAATTTGCAATTGATTTGATTAAATTCAAATAATACATACTATAGTGCTTTGTTTTTTAACTAAATTCAGAATAATCTTCATGAGAAGAAAATCTCATAATGAGGAGTTTTAATTTGTCGTTTTTCTTGTTTGGTATGACATAAGAAATTATTTATAGTACTAAATTTTCATAACCTTCCTTTTTACCTGTAACTTAACCACTTCATTTGATACACTATCGATACAGTGGACGTTTTGTGTCCGTGAATCGTCCAAATATTCAAAATTTGTGAAATGAATTTGAGATAAGAAAAAAATGTTATTGCAAATTAAGATAAAATTAATGCAAATGTAGTTATATTCCCATTAATTTGAGTTAGTATAAAAATAAAAACTTTAGCCTTTAAGTTCTGAAATTTGGAGTAGACGGGAGATTCTTCTGTTTGGACGTAGATTTTTAATAAGCAACTTCACCTCAAGGATAAGCGACTTTCTTCTGTTTCTAAAATACTGTAATGTAATATCTCTAATGGGCTTCGTGGAAGTTGCTACAATAATTAAGCAATTCTATAGTTCTGTATCCTAGCCTATAAAAGGCACACCCATTGCCTTGTTTCACAAGTTTAGACCCTCTGAAAATTCCAAGAGTTTTTGAGCCTCAAAAAAAATTCCCCCTAAAAAAAATACTCTCAAAGCTTCACAGATCTGTAATTTGAATTTCAAATCCAAGTTCCTTTAGGTCTGAATCTTCTCCAAAAAATTCAGAAAAGCAACAAAAACTAAAAGAAAACAATACTGTTACATTAGAGCTTCTCGTTTTTGGTTTCAAGTTCTTGTCATTTGATTGAAGAATTGTTTGTGTTTTGCTGGCCAAAAGTTCCGAGGTGTTATTGGGTTCATTTTCGAGTTTGCTTGTGTTTGAGTGGGGTTTGGTTTTTGGTTATCCACTGGTAGCATTTTGATCGAGTCAGTCCTGGATTTTGGTTGTGATTTAGCTGTCTTCTGTTGAAGTTTTGCACTGTCATCTACTGCTGCTGATCATCTTCCTCTCTTCTATCTCATTGCAATCTCAGGTACACGCTTGAATTCACACTGATGTAGCCTCAAATTGGAATAAAATGAAATCGTATTCCAGATCTGTGCTCGCTTGGATGCCTATAATTGTAGTCGGTTAAATGATGTGTAGTTATTGGCTTTAGTTTGCTTGTTTGTATTATACCATGGACTGTTTAATTAGGATTACTTCTAAGTGATTTGAACTATTTAATTTCTATCGGACTGTTGACATTCGTTAAGCTAGTGTAATTTCATTTAACGATTAGTTGAACGTTGATGACAACAAAAACATAAAAACTGATGTTAATTCTCCATATGTAGTTAATAACTGCAGAAGCATGAACTGATCTGCATTTGCTAGTTTACGGGTCTAAAAGCGAAATCTGATTTGGGTTGTTCACAAGTGTAAAAATCAGGTTTTGAACTTTTAACACGAGTTGATCCACGTAATCATTGTAAATGTTGAAATGGCAAACTGACTCGCTTCAGTAGGAGCAATCATTTAGAGCTATAACATAGAAGTCAAGGAAAATACTTAAGTAATTTGAGTACTAAATTGCTTTGTCAGTTGGAATTATGATTATAGGTTGTTTATATTGAACATTGAATCTGTTATCAATTGTTTCCTGATTCATGTTTATTGTTGCACATACTGGTCCACGTCTGGACAGCTTCACCCATCAGAACTAGGCCAAACCTCTAAGGCCCAAACAATTGTTATAAGTCAAAACCTTTTAAAAATTATATTAGGTATATGGGGATTAATTTGCGATATAAATTCAAGTGTTCGAGTTAGGTAGCGGATTCAAATTAAGAGGGTCCTCCCTTTTGTTTGAATTCGGACTTGAACTCGAGGCCTGAATTTATAAATGCAAATTAATTAGGCCCTTGTGGAAACAAATTAAATAGAAAATCATAGGTCACTTTAGGATTGGCCTTTAAATAAAAGTGGGACGAGCCTCGCCGAATAAAAATGCATAAATTGCGGGGCCCCCATTAAAAGCTTTATTAAAAATATTTTAGAAATTTGGGACATGCCATTTAGCGAATTTTCATGGCCTCCCGCAAAGTTAATAAGACACTAGCCACTTTAGGTGCGCTTTTAATAATTTACTTTCTTAAATACGGGTGTGCATTTCATGCGGCCCAAATCCAAATCCCAAAACGTTGAATAAGAGGTGTCGAGGATCCGGGCGCATTTCATGTGACGTGATCCAAAAACACGCTCTTAAACGGCGTTCACTTTCATAAAAAACTAATTAAAAGCGGTTGAATAATTCTTAAAATTGCACTATAGGTTGGAGCTTGTAGTAAAAATCAGATTTTAGCCATTTATGATAATTTAAGCGACCGTGCTAGAACCACGGGATCCGGGGGTGCCTAACACCTTCCCTCGGGTCAACAGAATTCCTTACACAGAATTTCTGGTTCGCAGACTCCAATTGGGAAGTCGAAATTTTTCCTCGATTGGGATTTAAATTAAACCGGTGACTCGGGACACCAAAAGCCCATCCTTTCCCGAGTGGCGACTCCAAAAAAATAAAATAAATCCCATTTTCGAATAATGTCACTTTAAATGAAAAAACTCCTTTACACATTATCCTTCGGGGTAGGTGTGTAAAAAAGGAGGTGTGACAGAGACGACTGACTGAAACTCAACAAACTAGTAATTAAAACCAACAAAACTGAAACCTAAAAACAAAAACAGCTAATTAACGGAAAGAAGAAAAAATAAAATGACTAAACTAACAAGCATGATCTGAAAAACGAAAATAACCTAATCATATGGAAAAGACCTAAAGAGGGGAGATGAATAATATTTTCAGAGGGAGCAGAGATTTACCTGAGGAAAAATCAAAGGTGTTGATTCTGTTGGATCGAAGCGCAGAAGGGCTAAACTATCCCGAAATGACCCAAAATTGAGGCTAATTAATTGTTCTTGCAAAGACAATAATCAGCTGTATTTCCGGCTAGTTCGAGGCTTGAAACCACAAACTGGGATTTCTGACTTGTTGTAAGATTTAGGATTTGGGGTTTTTGGCAGGGGTATTTGGGAAATTGACGATCAAATCGTGATGATGGAAGGTCAAGGATGATGGGGTTTTGATTTTGGAGCAATTAGGGAAGTTAGGTTTGACCGGATTTTTCGATCTGAAATTCGAGCAAATCTAAAGGGATTCGAGGGAGCTTGTCGGAGATGGAGAAAGGGGAGGTCATGAGGATTCTAGTGTGAAGATGGGGGTGACTGGAGCATCGCCGCCGGTGGAGGCAATTTCCGGCTGGCGGTTTGTGGGTGGCGCTGCCACCGGAAAGTGTTAGGGATTTAAGGCGGCGCTAGGGTTTAGTCTTAGATGAGGGAGATGAAATTAGGCTGTTTGGAACTGGGGGTAAGGGTTATTCGGACAGTTATATAAGGAGCTAAAGATCAGTTCGGACCGTCTGATTCATACGAAATCAACGGCTCTGATGAAAAAAAGTTGCAAATGGGTCGTTTGATTAGATAGGTGGGTTTTGGACCAGGTTAGGGGCATAATCTGGCTGGATCCGAACGGGTTTGGGGGAATCGGAGTGGGCTGTTACGAGTTTGGCCCAAAAGCAGCCTCTGCTTATTTCTTTTTTTTTCACTTTCAATTTCAAGTTTTCTTTTCTTTTTTTTTAAAATTAATTTAAAAACCTAATTGAACTTTTAAAACTAAATTATCTACCAAACTAAGCTAGTTACTAGTCATGGTTATTTACGAAAATTTAAATAACTCTTAAATTGAAAGAAAAACTAGTAATTCAAAAATTAAAAAGTTAAAATGCAAAGTGATTTGTTTTTTTATTTTTTTTTGTGATTTTCTTTTTATAAGACAACTAAATTGCTATTAACCTAAAAATGTTAAGAATTAAATCCTAAATGCAAATGCAGAGTATTTTTGTATTTTTCATGATTAAATAAAAAAACATCACGGACAAATGCGAAAAAATTAACAAAAATCCTACGAAAAATCTAAACGAAATTGCAAATAATGGAAAAAATTTAATTTTCTTGAATTTATTGGATAATTCAGTTATAGGGCAAAATCACCGTGCTCACAGCTGCCCCTCTTGCTCGAACACGAAAGAGTTTTGTGCAAAGATAAAGTGAGCGGATACAGAAGATTTTTGCCCGTTTGGAATACTCCGTGGAAGCCGTTTGAAAAGATTTGACCGCACCCTAGCTTCCGGGGTTGCTACATAATCCTTGGCTATAAAGGAATCAGGTAGCGTAGTTCGGGAATTTCGGTAGCTTGGGACTACCAGGCAGCTGTGATTTTACTGTTGCTGCTGTTGCTACTTGCTTGTGAACTCCTTATTACACACCAAATGAAATAAAAGAAGCTTAGACTAACTAGATCTTTGATATTAACAAGAATCCTATCTACACCTCTTCAAACTTGATCTTGCGTTCTGTTGCTCTGTTGACTGGTACTCTCCAAGTAAATTTCTTTGTCCTGACTTGAATTGTCATTCTGAGTGCTTTCCCTTTGTTCTTCAGGGTGGCGGCTGCATTGCCGAACTTTGAACATCTTCCTGTGAGCATTTGCTGCTTTCCCCTTGTCTCCAGTGTGGCACCTGATCTCTAGCATTGGCACTGCTTTCTCCTGAAACTAAAACTGCTTCCCTTTAATTCTTCAGAGGTGCTCCTGATTGCTTAACTCCTTCGAAGACAGCTTCCTGTTCTCCAGTGGGCTGTTTCCAAAAACTTGAATCTTCCCTTTGTTCTCAGGTGGGCCTGATTCCAAAACTTGAACTGCTCTCCCTTTGTTCTCCAGGGCGCCTGATTTCCAAAACGTGAACTGCTCTCCCTTTGTCCTCCAGGTGGGCGCCTGATTTCCAAAACTTGAACTGCTCTCCCTTTGTTC